TCCCTCAGCTCCTCAGTGAACCAAGGAGCTAGGTGAGATTGGCACCGGGTCAGAGGCCGCAAAGGCACGACCCGATCCAGAGCTCCAGCGGCTGCCCTATCCCAGGCGGCCACTAGGTCCCTAGTCAAGGCGTGTGCCAGAGCCTCAAGAAATGGCCCAAGCTCCATCTGGAACCTATCAGGTTCCATCAGGCACCTGGAGTGGAACCATCTTACCGGCTCCACCTCCCTGTGACGGGGTATAGCGGTTCGAAGGTCAAGGCGAAGGAGAGAGTGATCCGACCATGACAAGGGCTCAGTGACTATGTCCCCTATCTCAAGATCACTCAACCACTGTCCAGAGACAAAAATCAGGTCCAGCGTGTTTCCCCCTGTGTGGGTAGGGCCATGAATTAACTGGGTCAGGTCCATAGCTGTCATGGAAGCCATGAACTCCCGAGCCACCTCCGACGTCTCACCCACAGATGGGTTGCCCCCCGTTCACACTGGTTCTATAGAACTGGTAGTAAAACTGGTGGGAGGCTCCGCTCACTGACCCCGATGTCATCAAAATGCTTCTGCGCATGAGCGAAGCGAGCGCACGTGCGTGGCCTCGCTGCAAACCGGTAGTAAAGGTAAGTAGAACCCACCCCTGTGTGGCACCCCTCTGATCAATTCCTGTTTAAGCTTTATGGCCTATAAACACTACAGTTTCATCCATGGTGATCATGTTGCAGAGCTGGTACTTGGAAAAGTCAATGCCATCAACAAACAACTTGAATGCAAGTGCCCGTTTGACAAGTTCAGCATCATGTCGCTGAAGGAAGCCGTCTAGCCAGTGTTGAGAGGCTTTTGAATTGTTCCTGGATAATTTCCAACTGTGGTGCCATTGCAAGGGCAAATGCTTGAATATCAGCCCTGCGTACAACCAAAGTCTTTGCTCTCCTGTCAGCGATCCATTCACAGGTGCTGTCTTCAAGTTTGGAAAATAACACTTGCGCTTCTTACCATTTCCCTCCTGCACCTGTTGATTGAGTTTATCATACTCTACTCTCCATTTTCGGACCATACGGAGATCCTATGTTGTAGAAAGCTGCCTGATTCTTGCCCTGAGAATCCTCCATGATTTCTTTCTTGAATTCCATGAAATAGCTCTTTCTTTTTGAACTCATCTTGTTTGGGGGTCAAAATAAAAGTCATTTTAGATCATTAAATCCATTAATCCAAAACCCTGGGGGTGTGTTGGTTGGGATTTGGCATTGTGGTTTCCCTGTGTGTGGGTTTAGAGTTTGCAATTGTGGTTTCCCTGCATGTGGGAAACCCTCCCTCTCATTTCTGTTTCTCTCTCTTTTTCCTCTCCCTCTCCCTCTTTCTTTTCTTTCCCTTCTCTCTCCCCTTCTCTCTCTCATTTCTGTTTCTCTTTTTCCTCTCCCTCTTTCTTTCCTTTCTCCCCATTCTCCCTCTTATTTCTGTTTCTTTTTCCTCTCCCTCTCTCTTCCTTTTCTTTCCTTTCTCTCTCCCCATTCTCTCTCTCATTTGTTTCTCTCTCTTTTTCCTCTCCCCCTCTCTCTTTCTTTTCTTTCTCTCCCTCTTTCTACGCTTTCTACTCCATGCAGTGGAGGCATAAGGGCTGCTCTCCCTGCTCCTCAGCAAGCCGGGACTGGCTGTTTCGGGGCCAGGACAGCGCGCACAAACAGGGATACCCTCCTCAAGCAAGTAGAGTGATGATTGAAAAAAGTCCTCTGGGGAAGCTTTAAATCTCGCACAGGGGACTTTTGCTGCCCGAGGACGCTTTTCAATCAAAGCACCATTCAGCTGCAGGAGTAAATGGCAGTAAGTAGGGAATGGGGCATGAGGCGCATGGTGCTTTGCTGGGCCTGCCACTCTTTGTGACGGCCATTAGTGTGACAGAAGGGGCGCAGTGGCTAGGGTTGTGGGAGCAGTTGTTAGGTTGGGGTGTGGGGCAAGCAATGAGGAGGCCCAGTGATGTATGAGCCACGTCACTGGACCTCCTGCTACTTTTGCAGCTACAAAAGTGACCATGGTTGCTGGAGGCAGTAGGTGAGGAGTAGGGTGTGAGGCATGTTGCTGGACCTGCCACTCTTTTTGTGATGGCCATTAGTGTGAAAGAAGGGGCACAGTGGCTAAGATTGCGGGAGCTCCTCTTGGGTAAGGGTGTGTGAGGTGCATGGAGCATGGTCCCCCTCCCTTCCCCCCGCCCCCCAGCCGTGCCTCCTCACCTTGTATTGTTTGCATGGCAAGGACCAAAGGAAATGGTGGGGACTAGCTGTACATGTGTTTAAATATTTTCGGTGGGGTGCTTATTTTAGTGCATGCGCTCAAAAGCTCAATTGGGCTTATTATCCAGGGAGGTCTTATTTTTGGGTAAACACAGTAATTTTACATATCCTAACAGCAGCCAGGATTATAATATGCACAATACTGGAAAAATCCAGAAACCCCTATAGATGATACTATAATCAAAAAAAATCTGGAATGTGCAGAAATGGATAGGTTAACCCTAATAATCAAAGGAAAAGAATACTCGGAATATTTTATAACATAGAAACTATTCTACAAATGGTTAATTGACAGATGCTGAAGTTAGAGGAGTGGATTTATGTGAAATATTCTCACTACATGAGAAAGAAAAACTGATGAGTAAATATTTTGATGGTTATATAATTGATACTATAATGGAAGATAGTATATTTTTCAATAACAATTGATATTATCATATATATGTTTATGTATATATGATTATGATTATGATGATGTTTATATGTTAACACTTTGGACACCTAGAAAACACACTGTTCAACATAGAAATGGAATATTTCATTGTGTGTCCTCCATTTCATTGGGTGTCCTTCTAGACTCACAGCTAAGATTAGAGCAACATCTGACAGCTGTGGCTAGGGGGACTTTTGCACAGGGTCACCTGGTGCACCAATTGTGACCCTTCTTAGATCAGGAGGCTCTCCTCACAGTCACTCATACCCTTGTCACCTCACGGTTGGATTATTGCAATGCGCTCTACATGGGGCTAGCCTTGAAAAGTGTTCGGAGACTACAGTTGGTCCAGAATGCAGCCGTGCGAGCTATTGTGGGTGCACCTAAATACACCCACATTGCACTGGTTCTCTGCGAGCTGCACTGGCTCCCTATCGGTCTCCAGACACAATTCAAGGTGTTGGTTATTACCTTTAAAGCCCTACATGGCTTAGGGCCAGGCTATCTTCGAGACCGTCTTCTACCGCATAGCTCCCAACGACCGGTAAGATCCCACAGAGTTGGTCTCCTCCGGGTCCCGTCAGCTAAACAATGTCGGCTGGTGGGCCCATGGGGGAGGGCCTTCTCTGTGACTGCCCCGGCTCTCTGGAACCAATTACCTCCTGAGGTCCAGACCGCCCCCACCCTATTGGTCTTCCAGAAAGCAGTGAAGACCTGGCTTTTCCGGCAGGAAAATGTCTACCGTATTTTCCGGCGTATAAGACGACTGGGCGTATAAGACGACCCCCAACTTTTCCTGTTAAAATATAGGGTTTGGGCTATACTCGCCATATAAGACTGCCCCTCTTCCAATGCACACCAAATAAAAATTAAAAAACATCAACTGGCTCACCTACAATGTAAAAGCAGCTGTGCTGGACCCAAAATGGCCCCTGTAACAAGCAGGAACCTCACATAGCCACAAAAAGTCCAAAAAACCAACTTTCACACTTTACACACACAAAATTCCACATACAGCTTTGTGAGATTTTGTGTGTTTGTGTAGTTGGAGTGAAACACTACAGAAACACACTAAATCTCAGAAAGCTGCACAAATATTGTTTTATTTTTTATTTTTTTTATTTTTATATGAAAGCTAAATTTAAAACTTCCTAAACTTTAAATGGCTAGGTCTAAAAAAGAACAACTAAAAAAACCCCAATTGACTATTTTTTTTAAAGCTCCCAAAGGGGAAAAAAACTTACCCAATAGAACAGGGGTCTCCAACCTTGGCAACTTTAAGACTTGTAGACTTCAACTCCCAGAATTCCTCAGCCAGCTTTGCTTTGCTGGCTGAGGAATTCTGGGAGTTGAAGTCCACAACTAACTCCTTGCTTGATTGCAGGCAGGGAGTTGCTTGCTTGCCTGCAAGGCAAGCGTTGCGACTAGCAGCTGAGGTAAGCAAGCTGGAGGGGGAAAACTTTTTCCCTTTTACATGGCTCTGGCCATCCCAGCTGAGTTGCAGGGAACTCAGCTGGGATCGTCAGAGCTGGGATCGTCAGAGTAAAAGGGAAAAAACTTTTTTCCTTTTACGTGGTTTCTGGCGATCCCAGCTGAGTTGCAGGGAACTCAGCTGGGATTGTCAGAGCTGGGATCCTCAGAGCTGGGATTGCCAGAGCCATTTAAGGCTCGTCAGAGCCTTTCGGGCTGGTCTGCCTGGTTACAGGAGAACGACACCCGGCGTATAAGACGACCCCCGACTTTTGAGAAGATTTTCATGTGTTAAAAAGTCGTCTTATACGCCGGAAAATACGGTAGATATTTTCTGTCATCCAGGTCATGGTTGTCCCAAAGGTGCTTTTTCAAAAGGCAACTAAACTTAAAGACTTCTCATCCAAAAAGCTTCTTCAATTCTGATGGAAGTGAAGCCAGTTCTGAAGACAGAACTGAAGAAGCTTCTTGGATGAGAAGTGCAATGTCTTCAAGGAAAAACACAGGCCAGTTGCCTTTTGAAAAAGAACCATTGGGATTTCCAGATGTTACCGACTTAAAACTTCAAATGTTCCAGTAGCTCCCCATCACTGTTTGTAAACCACAATTGGATTCTCTGTGGGTTCCACCACTTCCTTATTATTTTTCATCATTTAGCCTCCTGAATTTACAAATTTGTAATCCTTTTACTCTTGCTTGAAGGCATTGCAATTTCTGTCCTGCAAGTCCCCAGTGCAAATCCATAGTGTCTTGTTTTGGAGCACAATTATTACCTGTCTTCCTCTCATTTAGTCTTATGTTCTTTTCTGATCCTCTCAGGATTGCTGCTTTTTGGCACAGCAAGACTTTGGCTATGACCACATCATCCTTGCCTCCCAGCAGTCAGGACAACCTTGTAAAAACCAATCCTTGGACAATATCCCTCGGACAGTCTTTCTACTTCTCTATTCAAGGTTATAATCATGGGAAGTGTCAGTAGCCTTATCTCTGGACACAGCTTTCACAGTAAACATTGTCGGGCATCTCAGTACAAGCTGCGTAAGTCATCCCAGCTGAAGAAGCTGAACAGGTACTCCGATGGTCTGCTGAAGTTCAGCTTCACCCAAGAAGCTGGCCACAACAAGTCCAGCTCCAAAGGCAATAAGAACGAGGACTTCTTTTACATCAAAGTGAACCAGAAGGCACACCGATCAGACTATGCACCACTCTCGGGTGGTGAGCTGGAAGGTCAGGCTGGGACAAGCAGTGGTGATTACGGTACCCCAACACCCCCCAAACTGAAGCCAGGCTCCAACCAGCTGGAACTAGTGAGTTGAGTTAAACTTGGCTATTATAATTAAGGGGTAGGGAATTGGTAGCCCTAGACTTATGTAAGATTCCTGGGTCTCCCGTCCCTTCTGTAGACTTCAGAACCCTCATTAATCAGGTTGATTGAAAACTGGAAAACCAATTTCCAAGTGTTTTGAGGACCTATATGGAAACTGTATGACCTAAAGTGGCCATATCAACATTAAAAAAAAATCAAGAAAATATTTGCAAATTTTTGAAAAAAAAACTTTTCAAGCTACTTAGCACAGCATGTTGTGTAAACACACCTGCTTCATTTGAGAAGCCTACAAACAGGATTTTAGATATAAAGGGTTAGGGGGGGAAGCTTCCAAAAATGAAAATAGCAGTGCTTCCCCATTCTCATCCAATCAAAATCAAGCACAACCTGTTTAACACATTGTAGGAAGCCAGTAGAAACTCCCATGATAGTACAGGTAATTCTTAAGTTACAACCATAATGGTGCCTGTCCATCATGGTCATAACTTGTGATGGCCATAAATCAGATCACCCATGTGATCAACTTGATTTTGTGAACTTTTTTGCATGGTTGGTGAGCAAACACCATGTTTGTTAAGCAAACCAATGGTTTGTTATCAGCCAAATTTTCCAAAAATCAGAAGTACCCCTTCAGCAAACATGGTCACATGACTGTGGAACTCTACAAATGGCCATAAATGCAGTGCAGTTGCCCAACACCCATGTAGTCATGTGACTGGAGTGGGCAGGGCTGACCATTGTAGCTTCAAAATTGGGTTGCAAGTACTCTTAGGAAAGGCCATTGTAACTTCAAACCATTGCAACTGGTCATAAGTAGAGGACTACCTCTACTTACTGCATTAACTATTCTCTCCTTCTGCCCAGGCTACAGAGAAGAGTGTGGCAAGGGCCACTGCTTTCAAACCAGTACTCCCTCACTCAAACACGGTTCTCCATTCTTCTCCTGATCACAGCAATGCTGCTCAGCAGTTCCCAACCCAAGACAAAGCCAAAGATCTGGAGAGTAAGCCTGCTCTTTGTTCTGGAGGACTTTCAGACTCGGGGAGAAACTCTATGTCCAGCCTGCCCACACACAGTACAGCCAGCAGCTACCAGCTGGACCCCCTGATTACTCCTGTTGGCCCCATCAGCCGATTTGGAGGCTCTGCTCACAACATCACTCAGTGTGCCATCCTTCAAGAGAGTAACATGATGAGCTTGAAAGCTCTGTCTTTCTCTGATGGGGGCACCAAGATCCTCAACCCAGGCAAGTCTTCCACTCATCCCCATATGACTGAGAACAGTGTTTGTGTTCGCTCACCCATCTCCACAGAGGAGTCCGCCATTCAGGAGCTGGAGCAGAAGCTGATGGAACGGGAGGGTGAGCTCCAGGAGCTCCAGTGCAGCTTTGAAGAGAAAGAGATCACCTCCTGCCAAAGCTACGAAGAGAAGCAAAGGCGTTGCCGGGAGGAGATGGAAGGGTTGAAGCAGAAATGCAACAGCAAACTGAAGCAGACATCACAGAAGAACCAGCGAGCTCAACAACTCTTGCAACTGCAGGTGTTTCAGCTGCAGCAGGAGAAGAAGCAGCTACGGGAGGAGCTGTCCAACTTGATGAAGGAGCAGGACCTTCTAGAGAACAAGCTGAGGACCTACGAGAAAGAGAAGACCAACTTTGCTCCTGCACTAGAAGAAACACAGTGGGAGGTAAGACTCTACTGCACCTTAGTAAAGGGGAAACCTGTTCCAGTCTTCTGTATTGTTTAGTCAAAATTAAAGATAAAGGTAAATGTTTTCTCTGTCTGGTCATGTCCAACTCTGGAGGCAGTACTCATCTTCATTTCTTAGCTGAGGGAGCCAGCATTGTCCAAAGACATTTCTGTGGTCATGTGGCCAATATGACTATACACCAAGGCATATAGTCAGAACCTTCCCACCAAAGTGATACCTACTTAGATACTCGTATTTGCATGCTTTCAAACTGCTAGGTGGACAGGAGTTGGGGCAAGGATGGGAGCTCACCCAGTCGTGTGGTGCTTGGGTCTCAAACCCAGGCTGTCAGCTGGAAAGCTGACAAGCTCAGTGTCTTTAAATTCCAACCCATCATGCTCCCTTAGTCAAATTAATACCAATCTAAAAATGTTTTAGTAGAAAAGCAGGACGTATGTTGGTGATGCTAGATGGAATTCGTAAAGCAGAGATGTCACACCCTTTGAATTGCCATATGTTCCCTGCAGTGGTATTTTAGACAAAAGTGCAACAAATAGAAAGTTTCCTTTGAATGTTTTTGTCCAGCATGAGCAACCTATGTTTGTGTCTCTGATTTTAGAGACCTTCTCATGCAATGAGATTGTTCCCCCAGCTGCCTGCAAAGAGAGAAGAGGGCCTTTTATCTTTCATTAGGGCCATGCCTTCCACTAGCTTCATCTTCATAGTTGATCCATGAAGAGATGCAATTTTTGACCTGAAATAAAAATACTCCATACTTAGCATCACCCATTTTCCTATGTGCAGCAGACTGAATTGCAATACAATCTAGATCTCTGGCAGGTGGATATCTGAATATGATCCTGATTCTAGTCTTATGTTTTCTTACAGGTTTGTCAGAAGTCTGGTGAGATCTCTCTCCTGAAACAGCAACTGAAAGAATCCCAGACAGAGCTGAACAGCAAGACCAATGAGGTCCTCAATCTGAAAGCTCAGCTGAAGGACCTCCGGGCCAAGATGGAACTGTTGGAGATTAAAATTCAGGATTTGGAGGATTCGTTGCATGCCAAAGCCATGGAACTAGAGGTATGTGAGAATGAACTCCAACACAAGAAGAATGAGTCAGAGCTACTAAGGGAGAAAGTGAACTTGCTGGAACAGGAGATTGCAGAGTTGAGAACTGAACTGACCATCCTCAGGGAGGAGATGAAATGTGGTGTGGTTTCCATGGGCCTGGAGGAAAGCATGGTGGAGGATGCCCAAGTCCTGTGGAGGGAAATAGAGAAGCTAAAAAAAGAACTGCAGGAGGAACAGGACAGCAACAAGCAGATCACAGTCAGCTTTCAGCAGGAACGACAAACCTGGAAGGAGGAGAAAGAGAAAGTAATCCAGTACCAGAAGCAGCTGCAGCAAAGCTACCTTCATATGTACAAAAGAAACCAAAACCTGGAGAAGATGCTTCAGCAGCTGGCTGCTGGGGAGGATGGTAAAGACCCTTTAGATCTTGATCTCCATGGAACTGATATCCCTTATGAGGACATTATTGCCACTGAAATCTGAACCTGAATGGTGCTGTGTTTTGCTGCCCACTGCAGAAAGATCTCACTTGGGGTTATGTGTAACTTCACAGAGCGCTTTTAATGGAGGTTCTTGTCTGGCCAAAACAAGTCACCAGCCATTGTCCATGCATTTCCACCCCCAACTTCTTTATCCAGGTGTACCTGACTGCTGTTGTAGGGCAACCCATTGAGAAAAGGGAAGAGAAGAATTCCCAACTGACTTTTTCTGTCACAGCGTGATCCAACATAGGAGCAGCTTTGGTAGAAAAGATACAAGAACCTCTGAGCCATTAATAATATGAGATAAGACTTGCTTGTATTCTAAGACCCTCTTAATTCCCCCGTGAGAGGACTCTGGGGAAAAGCACACCCATTAAACTTTTAGTTAAGGAAGAGTGACTTGCACATCCATCAAGAGTTGGTCATCATGGTTCTCAAGGGTAACCAGTCATTCCATGTTTGCAGAACATGATGTGTTCTACTGGAATATTTAAGCATCAGATGGAACGATAGTAGCATTGCTCCATCATTTGTCTGCAAAGGACCTGCCTCCATCAGAAATGATGGGCTAATATTCTAGAGTCCCGGAAGCCATAATTTGTCAGTCAGCCACTGGATCTTCCTCATCCTTTACCCTTCTTTTAGCGTTTGCCTCCCTTTCTGAACAAGCTGAAGTATGGGAGAGGTATATTTTTATTTATTGTGTGAGTGCACGTGTCTATAATAGAGATGGGAATTGGATTTTGAAATGCTCTTGTGTTTTTGAACAGGAATGTTCAGAGTTGTTTATTTAAAATGTGAATATTTGTATGTATGTATTATTGTTTTGCAAATATCTGGCATTTATTTTTCCACATTTCCTATTTTGACCTGGAGAAAAAAACATATTGGCTCTTCTGAGCCCATTGTGTCTATAGATATACAGTAACTGGAAATATAGGTTTGCCTCAAAGTGATGCTTTCTTTAAAAACATGCTAGCTTCCATTCCGTGTTTTAAAAATTAATTTTTTTAAAAAAAAAGTAAATGAGGTCATGCAAAGAGCTTGGATGGAACCAAGGAATATACTGTATTGACAGGCATCTAACTTTATTTACTTAAAACATAAATCTTGTAAAAAATCAACACCAGTTCAAAGTAGCCAAAAACAACAGTAAACCCATTAGTAAACAATTTTCAAATACCATATTTCCCCGAAAATAAGACCCGGTCTTATTTTCTTTTCAGACCCAAAATAAGCACCAAATCTTATTTTCAGGGGATGTTTTACCCGCTTACCTTAGGACCACTGCAGCCATTACTCCCATATCCTGACCCCTTTTGTGCCACTGCCGGACTTCTGTGGCCACTTGCAGCCAAATGCTCCATGGCTCATCGTGTAGTGCCACCACTCGCGGCAGGAGGTTGCAGGGTGCATTGTGCCATTGTCTTGCATGAGCAGCAGCCCCAGTATGATGTGCCATGTGACATCTGACCATCAGGCAATGGTGTGACAGGTGTTGGGGCATGGGAGGCCTGACTGCGGCAGTCCTAAGGTGTGCAGAGCATGTAGAGCAGCTCCATCACCCCCACCCCCCCCCTAGCTTGATTTTTTACACCTACATTTTGCCCCACCTCATACAACCAGAAGGTGGGCGGGGCTTAACTAGGGTTTATTTTTGGAGTAGGGCTTATATTAGGCACAGGTGTGAAAATTAGGCTAGGGCTTGTTTTCAGGGTAGGTCGTATTTTTGGGGAAACTGTATCAATTCCTACTATATTGAAGGATTAAGAGAACTGAAGAGAAATGGTTAAAAGAAGAAACATCAGTACAATTGTTATAACTACCATAAAACAATAATATATGAATAGACTGCCTTACTAAACAGAAAAGTTTCATTCTTACTTCCAGAAGTTTTAAAGAGGGGACCAGAAACAAGGTCCTGTTCCCTATCAATTTTGAAACTGCTACCATACATAATAAACCATAATAAGCAAGTATTTATTTGACTCCATGTTCAGTATTTTTGGATACTTAGACTACCTCCCTCACCTTCAACCCAAAACAAAATAGCCAGGAAGAGAATATTGAAAAATACTTTTCTTGACACCTGATTTCCATTTAGGTAGCTTTGACCTTCTCCTTTCCACTGAAGCGAAATGTTCCTTGTAGAGTTAATAAAGGTCTTCACAGTATTTGGTCTAAAAGAGATTGAAAATATGGCTACCATCCTATGCCTTGCCAATGACAGCTTAAGAAAGCAGAACAGCAAAGGACTTGTGTCAAAGTAGCTACTAAAGGGCAGCCAAATTATTTTGGCACCTGACACAAAAAAGTACCTTGTTAGTATTATAATAATAATACAACCCCGCTCCCACATTGTAGCAGTTTTAAATGCTAATGTGACATCAGAAATTGACCATCTCACCACCATGTCATGCTGTTCCACAACATTCCTTGTGACCTTTAGAGAAACCTGCCATGAAACATCTTATACAATAAAATGCCATATCAAAAATAGAAATGCAAAAAGGGTAAAGAAAATCTGGCTTCAAACAGAGAGAAATTAACAGAGTTTAGAACTTAAATAGCAATAGCTTTTTTACTGCTACTTGAAAAGATGCATGGTTGAGTTCTTTTATTCCGGAAAAAAGATATACTTCAAAGCCACATTTCAAAGGTTATAATCCATTGGCAGAACAGATGCTTTTCATGCAGAAACTCTCAAGCTTCAAAATCCTATCTTATGGTAGGATTTATAGACATCTCTTTGAAATGCAGTCCTTGAGAGAAATACAGAATTTTGTGGGGTTTAGCTTGGTGGATCTAACTTCCTGTGTCAGTCTAGTGAGGAAACCCAATAAGCATTCTTTTTTGTCGTGATTTCAAAACATTGGTTGACTACCCAATTTTTTTCAACTGTTTCTGTGAGATAGGAGAACTTTATATGACGCAAACAGCAGCACCCAAATCCTATCCATATTCGGGAGGTTCTCACATTCTCAAAATCTTGCCTTAACTAACATTATTGGGTAAACGAGGCCCAAAGCATTTTTCACTTTGTTCTCAGCACCTTTTGAACGTTGAGAAGCTCAAAGTTCCAAAATGTTGGAGAATTTCCAAAATGTCAAAATGTATGACTTTCTTCCATTGCATCAGAGAGAATACACATATTGCATCTTGCATTTGTTTTTGCAAATCTTTTGTCCTGCATGCAACCCAGCATCCCTGGGACTTGCCCGAGCAGCTAACAATCCTGTTTCTCTATATAGCTACAAACTACGAAACACTCTTGTGTCACTGCATATTAAGTCTTAACAGCATTTGTCACCCCCTGCCTGCCAATCAGCTAATTGGGTTTGTGCACATATGCTCCTGATTAGCAAAATTTGCATTGTTAATTGCAGTTTTAAACACCAGCCCAGTCCCTGATGAAACACCCAGTGGTGCCCAGGGAGTTCATTATCTCTGAATGGGAGGGAGTCTGTATGATAGCAGTCATTTTCCTGCTGAGCTGATAAAAGTTCTTCTCTTCCATTCTGTTTGCTCTTTCATTCATTTTACATTGGGGCAGGAACCCAGCTGTTGGCAGGCACAATTAAAAGTTGTTGTTTCCAAAAATAATCTATTGGGTGAAAGGTCCCCCCTCCTTCTGTGGTGAACTGTTTGGGGATAGTGAAGAAAAATTGGATATCACTTTTAATTGTAAGAAAAAGTGTTAATTGGTGCCCTGCCCACCAGTCTGATTTTGTCAGTAAACATATACTAAAGTCCTTAGCACAGATCCAAATTTTAGAAAATCTCCATGTAGCCAATAACGTTTACACCTAGAAACAAGTAAAGTAATAACTAACAATCAGCACAGGTTTGTTAAAAACAGATCATGCCAAACCAATCTTAGTTCATTCTTCAACATAGTGATGAAATTAGTAGACCAGCAAAATACTGTAGACATAATATAGTTAGAATTCAGCAAGGCATTCAACAAAGTAGATGACAACCTACTTCTTCGTAAGTTAGAAAAAAGTGGGATAGATAGATTCACCACCAGATGAATTCTGAACTAGCTGACAAACCATACTCAATGAGTAGTCCTTAATGGGTCTAAGTCTACACAGAGAGAAGTAAGCAGTGGGGTGCCACAAGGTTCCACCTTAGGCCCAGTACTCTTCAATATCTTCATAAACAACTTAAATGAGGGAATAGAAGGGGAACTCACCAAATTTGCAGATGATACTAAAATAGCAGGAATAGCTAACACTCTAGAAGATAGGCTCACGATCCAGATGGATCTTGACAGACTTGAACACTGGGCCCTATTTAACAAAATGAAATTCAATGTAGAGAAAAGTAAAGTCCTACACATAGGTAAGAAAAACCAAAAGCACACATATAAACTATGGAAAATCAGGCTTAATAGCAGTGACTGTGAGAGGGATCTTGGAGTCTTAGTGGACAACCAGCTAAATATGAGCCAGCAGTGCAGCGGCAGTCAAAAGAGCCAATGCAATCCTAAATTGCATTAACAGAGGTATACCATCAAGATCAAGTGAGGTACTAATACCACTCTATAAAGCCCTATTAAGACCACACCTAGAATACTGCATCCAGTTTTGGTCACCACACTATAAAAAAGATGTTGAGACTCTAGAAAAAGTGCAGAGGAGAACAACTAGGGTGATTAGGGGACTGGAGACTAGAACATGAAGAACGGTTACATGGCTAGTCTAGTGAAGAGAAGGACCAGGGGAGACATGATAGCCGTCTTCCAATACTTGAAGGGCTGCCACAGAGAGGAGGGGATCAAGCTGTTTTCCAAAGCACCTGAAGACCAGACAAGGAATAATGGATGGAAACTGACCAAGGAGAGATTCAACCTAGAAATGAGGAGGAACTTTCTGACAGTGAGAACAATCAACCAATGGAACAGCTTGCCTTTGGAAGTTGTGGGAGTTTCATCACTTGAGACTTTCAAGAAAAGATTGGACTGCCATTTGTCAGAAAGGGTGTAGGGTCTCCTGCTTGAGGGGGGGGGTTGAACTAGATAAGCTATAAGGTCCCTTCCAACTCTGTTAATCTGTCTCTGTCTTCAAATTCTGTCAACAAACTCAAATCTTTGTTTCTCCAGACCCCAAGTCAAACCCCAAGAAATTTCTGCTAACCTGGTATCAAGATTCATTAGAATCCTCTATTTGGGGAACATACTGTATTGTCTCTTAATCTTTATTAAGTTGTAAAGCAGGGTATACATCTTTATTAAGGAAGGGTGTGGGTTATTTAGTAGGATTTGCAAAAAAAGGTGGGGAGCTGTATGGACTGCAGCTACATAACATTCATTTCTACACTGGATTTTCCTTTTTGTGAAGAATTACTTATCTCTAAACAAGACAGACCTTAATATGTCAGCTTGTATGACCCAATAAATAGTATAAATTTGCCTGTCACATTTTAGCCTAGCCTAGTATGTAGAGCTAAACTGTCATTATTCAACACTATAGTGGATTGTGAATACTCAGTAAATTGGGACAGTGACTTATTTTTGGATTGTTCTTCCTTGTGAAGCATTCTAGAGCAATGTACAATTCCCACCCCATATCCTTAAAACAGTTTCAATCTAAGACTGCTATCAATACATCTAAAAGACACTAAACAAAGCAAAACTTGAAACAAGATTCATATTTTCAAAACTGCTTGAACAGACTGAGACCTATAATTGAGCAATTGAGATCTATAATTCCTTTGGCGTGTCTTCAATTCTCATTGGAGAAGATGAGATCAGCCATACATTTTCAGGACTGGCATCTATGAGAAGGGGCCCACCTCTGATTGTCCTGGTGCAAACCAATGTTAGGAGCAGAACTTCTTCAAATGGTCTTATTACATGATATGGAGGAGTACTTGAGTTCTAAGACAATAAACCATGGATAACTATAGACAAACATGTTAGGGGAAATATAACCGATAATCCTTGGATATAGGTAGACATTCAATTGTCTGGATGACTTGCTGACCCAAAATAAAGTAGAGCTACCCAAATTGTGAGAAATCACATTTATGTTTCCCATCACTGGCATGAAATTAGGTCACCTAGTCCTCACCAGACCAGCCAACTGTATATTTGTCTATCAAGAAGTGTTTTCTGCATCAGTGACCACTTTTTCTAGAAAAAAAATCTGGTTCATTGGGTCAAAGCAGTTTGTCTGTTCACCTCTTACCTTCTGTAGACTGCTACAAAACAGATGTGTGAACTTACCTTGAGTTTGAGGCATTCTAATAATAGGTCATATCCTTAAAAATAGTGGCTAGTTCACACAGCATAGTAAACATATTTACTGAATTAATCAGTTTACTGGATTTGTACCATACACTAAATCATAAACCAACCAGAAGATTTTAACTGATTCAGATAAAGATTTAATTGCTATATTTGCACAGCACAGTATGCTTGGTTAATTTTAAACTTGGTTACATGTATGTGGTGATGGCTTAGCAAATTGAATTTGTCAAATCTGTTTATGATGTTATGAACTGTGCAAAACCTTGAGATATAATGCAACCTGGATTTTGAAAAAGGTATCTTAGTAAACCTCGACCTTGAAAGTGGAAAAGAAGGTGCTAATAGACACTAAATGTGACAAGTGAATGAGAATTTTAAAAATTAATGTCTGGTAGAGATTCTAGATCTCTGTTTGCTTCATGGTGCTAATACAATGAGATAGGAGAATATGCAGGATAATATGCAAACTCAATCCCTGAAGACATACATGGACATATCCATGATCTTTTCTTGACATGATATGGAAGTGATTGGCCAGGTAGAGTGGAATTGTCTTTCAACTCTACTCCATACCATTGAGATTTTCACATGAACCCCTAATTCTGTACGTACCATCTGCTGAGGCCACTATAAAGAGAACTGAACCCTTTCCTTATCCTCCAAACTACAAATCCCATCCTCTAGTTTCTTTTTCATCATTCTTGTCCCAAGTCCCAGACTAGAATTTTGATAGTTTCCCACATTTGCATTAGCATGGCAGATAGTAAAACAGGTCCACAAATTTGCTACCAACATGGCAGTGGACAAAGATGCAAAAAAGGAGGTAAATCTCTACCTAGCCATTGGCTTCTTCCTCTGGATGTATAATTAATTATTACTCAGACAAACATCACCTAACACATTCTGCATCATGGAGAATTGAGCTGCTTTCTTTGGATGTCATATAATGATTCCAGAATCTGGTCAGCAAACCAGTGATCTCATGTCATCACTCCCCTAAATTGATGCAGTATCAACTTGTTTCTTGAATAACTTTTCCTGCTTCACTAATGATAGTGTATTATGTATAGCTTTGGGACCATATATATTCACTTGAAGCTAGATTATTGATTCCTGGCATTGGAATAACTTCCAGAGCATGTTGCAATCTCTTTGGTGATCTTGGATATTTTTCTTTTATTTTGTTGGGGCTAAGGAATGATAGCTGTGAAAATCAGATTATTCCAGCAATGACTTTGGAATCCATGTTCCATTCTAGCACTTCTATGAATCACAGTTGTTCTTTCTCTCTCTCTCTAATCTTATCCATCTATCCATTCATCCATCCATTGTCTTTCTCAACCACAAAATAAGCTCTCTTGCTGGATTTCTTCTTACATTTATCCATCTAAAGATTTCATTGGCCAAGCTCACACAATTTTGCTAAACCATAATTTATTTTAAACATGCTTTGTTGACAGTTGCAAGAGCTGGGTCATATACCATACTAAGACTAGGATTTGTTGAGTAACCACAGTAGTGGTTACAAATCAGAGCGGCTGGATTCATACAACCTGTTTGTAAAAAATGGACAAGCCATATTGTGGCTTGCTGTCTAATATGTGGTCTAATATATTTAATTTAGCCAGACTGCTCTTTTTTCAACATGGAAGATATCAGGAATTGAATCCAATGTTTGCTGATGAAGCATATGCTCTATCCTGTGTGGTGGGTTCTAATGTGAGTGTACCTACCTCCCCTTCATCTTCCTCAATTTTACTGTGCCTAGTTGCTTGTTTCTCAGTCTGGATCTGACCTATATAATCTAGACCAGGGGTACCCAACTCCCAGTCTGTTGACCAGCAGTCTATGGCATGCCAGAAACTGGGCTGTGCAAAAAAGCGAAGCCCCATTCACAGGATGGAGGCAGCACATGAAATCATGCCTCCTCCAATATGTGGAAAAACCTCTCTCCACAAAACTGGTCCCTGGTGCCCAAAAGGTTGGGGGCCACTGATCTAGACCAAAGGTCCCTAACCCCTGGGCTGCATGGCCTATTAAGAACCAGGACGCATGAGCAATGGCCTGGTGTCTGCAACTCAACTTGCACAAGTCAATGTATGTATGTTAGATAAGAAATTATACATTTAAGATACGTTTATGAGAAAAATAAAAAACTTTTTTAAAAAAAATACTTGCACAAGTCAAGCTGCACGCGCCAGGCCACTGTTCATGTAAGTCAAACTACATGTGCACTGGCCCACTCTTTGTACGGCCCAGTTACCCTCTCCCCCCCAACCCCAGCCAAGCTGCAAAGGTTGGGGACCGCTGATCTGGACAGAAGCAACAAAATATGCAGAGATAATTTACTTGAATGTGGCAAGTGGGCAACGATGCCCAGTGGCAGACAAATAGGATGTCCAGAAAGCTCCAAAATTGGCCATGGACCTTCCATAGATCATGGACTTCACAGGTGTCCAATGGGAGGTTACATGCTACTAAAGGCAAATAATTCACCATGACTTTCCATTACTTTGTTCCAGTCCTCTGAAGCATTGGGGGGGCCATCTCATGAGACCATTTGGCCCCCTCCCCATTTAATGTGACAATGATTGCTACCTTTGCACAAATATTGTGTTTGATTCATGACGGTATGTATTGCCAGCATGTCACTTGCTTGTCTTGTCCCACTGTGTGTGGGAGAAGTCATCATTTGGGCTGTACACAGTACTGTTCTTCCCATCACATTGTCTTTTCTTCAGTATAACTCTTGCTGGTTTTTCATGTATTAAAGTGTAATTTCTGGTGAGCAATGTAAATGGACTCTATGTTTTTTATGTATAAATAAATTTGTAAAAATCTGAGTCAAGCTGTTGGAAAGGTCTTGTGTTCTGTCCATTGAATTGGAATAGACCCTATGCTTATAAATCAGGATAATCTGTTTTCCTAATTACCTCAATGTCCACATGACAGCATGAAGGACAAGGAAGCCATGAAGAAACAGGAACTAACACATTAAGTGTGATCTCCCATGGGAAAAGGAAACCTAGCAAGACATTATGGCTTTGGCAAGGGAAAGTACAGTATGAGTCTAGCAAGCTCTTATAATAAGACTGAAAGTGACAAGAGCTTTAGATATCTCCTCCTTCTCCTTCCCCTTCCTCTCCCATACTTTAGTTGCTCAGATTCCTGATTTATGGCAGATGCTGCCTTATGCCTACACATACAGGCTCCTCCATTTAATCACTCAGCACAAAAAGGAACTTCACACTAAACAAAACAAGAAGGAGCCCATCTGCTACCTGTGAAACCCTTATGGGATAAATGAGCAAACTCTGTTTCAAGAATGTTGGGAAACCTTTGCCCATTGATTTCTTGCTACCACGTTGGGCTATTGCTGCCTCAATAATATGATTGAGGGGGATGGACGACCCAATTTCTCTTCTTGATTTTTTTGCTTTTTTCAAACCAGACTGAAGAATCTTTGGAGAACAGAGGTAACAACAGTATTTGACCTCTGGACAGGGAGATAATCCCTGGATGAATCAAACTAATTTCATTATTTAAACAAACAAGCAAATGAACAAAACCTCCAGTATCTCCTTCAGGGATCCATTCAATATCTAAATGGAGGTGTGATTCAGATCAATTTCATCCTATGCTCGTCAGTGTGTTGGAATTCAATTCTCACTAATTCTAACCAGCATATCTAAGAAACCAAGCCTTGCATTTCTTTTTATTGATGGCTGAACACCTAATTTCTTAAGCTACATTTTAATTCACCTGAGTATCAGCCCTTGAGTGTCACTAAGTGACTAGTCAAGCAAGAGCTGAAAAAGCTTCTTGAATGAGAAGCGAAACGTCCTCCAGGAAAAACAAAGTCCAGTTGCCTCTTGAAAAAGCACTTTTGGGACAACCATGACCTGGATGACTAAGACTCTCCATAGACATTTAGGGCAAGCAAGACATTCTTGCTCTCTCACTAAAGCAGGAGAATGGCTTGCATTTACTTCTCTCATTTGGTAGTTGGTGAGCAACCGTTACACGAGTGGGGCCATGAGTACCCACGATGCTTGTATGAATGGGCCCATGAGCACTCGTACTTGTGGGCCGCGAGCACCTGTGTCAGATCCCTCTCATGATACTGCCATTCAAGTGGAGAGGGTACCCCGGATCCTTTTACTCATGTATTGCTCTCATTCCTATGTATCCTGTAATTCCCTAGTTTATAACTTTTACCCTGTCACCTATTCTGCCCTGTGCTTTGATTTACCTTGGGGAGTGTATAAGGAGGGAGGGCCATCTGTTTTCTTTCAGTTTGGAAGCCTCCCAGAAGAAACACATCGGAAAAAATCCCTATCTCTTTCTCAGATGTTTCCACAACATCTTCACACCTGTAGATTGGCTCATTCAACATCAAACTGAGAGGAGGGGTTTCTAACCACTTTATCCTAACGGAATTGCTTCGGGGGGACTCAGACCCTGCTTTGCTTTTGTCTTGCAATCACTCCCTTCAATAAAAGGTTCCTTTTGAAATGCTGCTGTCTCAAGAGTCCGGGGAGTAGAGGCAGGACCTTACAACCTGTGACACGAGCATAAGTAGGTCCCAGTTGTCTGGTAGTGGCCCACAGGTTGGGGACCCCTGGCCTAGGAGATGATATAGGTGGAGAGGGAGGACAGGTCTATATAGGTCTAAAGAAAGTCTAAATTCTTGAGAAGTAGCAGATCCTTTTTCCTCCACTGGCAGCATTTCAGCAGGGAATAAATGATCACAATGAGATCCAAAAGGTTTAGAGGTGTTCAGAGCTATCGGAAGCAGTTTCTTCCAGATTTCAAGACTGATTGGGGACACTTTCACATAACCAAGCTTTATGTTACTTATTCCCAAAATGGATCTGAGCTTTTCTGTTTGGTGATAATTCTGTCATCCAACTTCCCTTTTTTGTAACCCTTTAAATGTGTACAAGTAGTTGTCGACTTACGATCATAAGTGAACCCAAAATTTCTGTTGCTAAGTGAGTCATTTGAGCGAGTTTTGCCCCCATTTTACATCCTTTCTTGCCACAGTTGTTAAATGAATCTGTCATTAAGTTAGTGACATGGTTGTTAAGTGAATCTGGCTTCCCCATTGACTTTGCTTGTCAGAAGGTTGCAAAAGACGATCACCCAGCCCTGGGACCATGGTGGGTTGCCCCCATTTCAGACTAGTTGGCAAGAACCAGTAGTAAAACTGGCAGGAGGCTCTGCCCACTGATTCAGACGTCATCATAGGTGATCTGCGCATACACAGAAGCTTCTGCGTGTGCGTGGGCACGATGCGAACCAGTAGTAAAGGTAAGTAGAACCCACCCCTGCCTGGGACAGTACAACCATCATAAACACACACCAGTTGCCAAGTGTCTGAATTTTGATCATGTGACTGTGGGGATGCCACAATGGCCGTAAGTGAGAAAACAGTCATAAGTCACTGTTTTCAGTGCCGTTATAATTTCAAATGGTCAATAAATGAATGGTTGTAAGTGGAGGACTATCTGTAGTATAATCTAGTAGACCTAAGGGTGAAATTGACTAGTAACTCCCCTCTCAGAAGGCTTGCCTTTACTGCCTTTATGCTTTCATGGCTTCAGTATCAGAGAAAGCAATTGCCTTGAACTGAGAGTTCCATATTTATTTTTTTTATTTATTTATTTACTTCATCAAGCATGTATTTTATGACAGATACAAATGTAAACGTAATTATAAACACATGAAAAGGATATGAATAAAAAAAACATTAGGACAGGGATGGTAGGCATGCTGGTGCGCTTATGCACACCCCTTACAGACCTCTTAGGAATGGGGTGAGGTCTACAGTAGACAGTCTAAGGTTAAAGTTTTGGGGATTTGGGGAAGAAACCACAGTCAGGTAGTGCATTCCAGGCTGTTACTGAAGTCCTATTTTCTGCAGTCTAGTTTGGATTAGTTTACCATGAGTTTATATCTATTGTGTGCTCTTGTATTGTTTTGATTGAAGCTGAAGTATTCATTTGCTGGTAGGACATTGTAGCAGATGATTTTATGTACTATCCTCAGGTCAGACCGAAGACGGCAAAGTTCTAAGTTGTCTAAGACCAAAATTTCGAATCTGGTGGCATAAGGTATTTTGTTCCGAGAGAAGAGTAGTTGAGAGCTTCTTTAGGAAGTAAGCACATAATCCATCAGGGCCATCAACCAGATAGAGATGGTTTCAGGTTGCGTAGTGCCTTTTCAACGGCATTTTCTATGAAATCGACATGTAGTAGATCGTTGTGAGTAGCAATGGCATGAGCCATTTACAAAGACTGAACTGAAGAATGCATTGAAGTGGTTGGCCTTAACGGTTTCATCATTACAATCTTTCCCATTTGGCCCTTTTAGTGGTGGGATGGATCTTGAGTCTTTAAGTTTGTTGTTTACAAAATTGTAGAAGGTCTGGGTGGATTTTTTTTTATTTGATTTATATGCCGCCCTTCTCCGGAGACTCAGGGCGGCTTACAATGCGTTAAGCAATAGGATTGCTTAAGGATTTAGTGCGTATTAGGTTTTCCTCTTGTTTGCTGTGATAACTGATGCATTCTGCTTTTATCTGTTGGCATACGGTTTTGTAGCGACTTTTGAAGTTAGCTACATAGGCAGTTTTGGTTTTGCGCCAAAGAGGGTTTTTTTTTTTTGTCTGAAGCTTCCTTATTGTTATGGGTAATTTATTTTTCATGGTTTTGGGGGTTATTAGTGGTATGTATAGTTAGATGATTCTTTTGACTTCTTGCAAAAAAAATGTTATAACGGTCTTCGGCAGTGATGCAGCCAGTGAATAGAGTTTGCCAATCAAGAGATGAAAGGTCATCAGTTATGAGATCATAGTTGGCTTTTCTAAAGTTATACTTCAGTATTCCGTCATTATGATTGTCTATGTGAGGTCATAAATTGAGATAAAAGTCTATCATGCTATGGTCACTGTTGGAAAAGGGTTCTTTTATTTGTAGTCCATAAATTGAATTTAAATTGTTGCAGAAGATGAGATCAAGGCAGTTGTTGAGTCTAGTGTTATTAGTTACTAGTTGATTTAGTCCCAGATTAGTTACAGCATTGTACAGGGTTGCATGTATGGGTTCAGTTGTACATTCGTTTAGGGTCCAATTAATAGAGGTAGATTTAGGTCACCAAGAAAGATAAGAGGGTGTGGGCAGGAGACTGCCCATGTTAATAGTGATATTAGTTTGTTCACATGTACAAAGTCGTAATCAGGGGCTCTGTAACAGAGTATGAAGCAAATTGTGGTGTTAAGGGAAAGGTCGCGTACAATGGTCTCAGGAAGAGCTAACTCCTGTGTAACTTGAATATTTTTTAGATTTAGGGATCTTTTATAAAAGATAGCAACACCACCCACCCTGCGGATTTCATGGTTGGACCTGTACACATGATAGTCTCTTACTGTGGTAATGGAGTCTGGTAGTGATGAATTCAGCCACGTCTCACATACAAATATAATGTTGAATATAGTCATATTTAGTAGAGGAGGAATTCTGGTATTTTCTTTACAAGGCTTCGTGAATTAAGTAGTTTGCATTTAAGGTCTGTGGCGGTGGATTTTGAGGAAGTTAGTTATTGGGGTGTGGGCCATTGTTCTTACTTTTAAGACAGTCGGCACGATAATCAATGTATAAGTCAGTTTCTCCCCGGGTTTTGGCGTATTTTGAGTTCAGCATGTAGTTCATGGGAGCGGATTCTTTGAAGTGTAGATAGGTCTGGCCTTGAGCAAAGTTTCTTATAGTTTGAATTGCTTCTTGCAATTGAGTTGATAGTATGAATGAATTTCCTTTTGCTGGTCTCATTTTTGCAAATTACT